ATACCACATCAACAAAAATTTGTCTTACATAAATGTGGTAAATTTTAATTTATTGTTAATCCACTCAATTGACAATTATGAATAGAAAAATACCGTATTGCTTCGAATCGAATTGCATCGAATCGAATCAAAAATCTTTTGAATCGAATCGTTGCTTCGAATCGAAAATTTTTTGCTGCTTCGCACACCCCTATTTGTTACTAAATAAAACTATGAAATGTCTTTATTGTAGGCTAAAAGTAAAACCTATCTATTGCCATACTTTTCTCCACAGACGTCGACATAGGCTATTATGCAATGTCTTTAAAAAATACCAGGGTTTCAGTCAAAATACTTTTGTAAACATTGACAATGTGCTGTTTTAACACAGTTCATTCCTTGACCACGATCGTTTTTACTCACTAGAGAAAAGACTCTCCTTACAAAATGTATTTGTAGGCCAAGATGTTTGTAATTTTTTTAATGTATAACTGCAATTGCTTTTAAAAAGAAATACAAAAACTGACAAATGACTTAGATTAATACTTAAAAAGTTAAGCCTATTTATAAAATAGAGGAAACTTTATTAGATCTCATCATAGTCAAATTCAAACATTTACAGTACAGTATTTCAAAATAATTTAACACTCTTGTGTAATGGAAATCTGCAAGCGACTGAGGCCGAGGGTGAGGGCAGGGAGGGCATGTGAACCAGGCTTTAGAACAAGGGCAAATTCTGCCAAACTTTCTCTTTTCCTCCCCCATGTCCCGTTAGACGGTGGGTGGGGCTTCACATAATAAACAGTTCATTCATTCATAGAGAAGAGTTTTTGTGGCAGTGACATATGTCTCTTGTCTGCTCTTCAAGTTCACACATCTGGACTTCTTTAAAACAATTATAAGTGATAATCTTTATTAAAAATAAGTGAAAAACTGTTGACATTTTCAAGGAAAAAAAGTTGAGAAATAAAAGTGTTAAATTTTTTGTTTGATTAGTTATTCTGTATTTCAAAAATATCCTCATTTATGATTATGTTTTCAGCTAGACTTGGTGACTTTTTCATAGTTAAACAAATTTTGAAGATATATAATTAGTGAGAAAATGTCGTTATATAGGAAGTTAGTTTTTACTCACTTGGGGGAAAAACTTACCTTACAAAGAGTATTTGTAGACCAAGATGTTGGCTAGGTACGTAATAAAAAAATATATATAATTTAATGAGTTAACTAAGACAATTTCATGGAATTTCAAATAAATAAAAAAACTGAGAAATGACTTTAGATAAATACTTGTAAGCCTATTTATAAATCAGAGGAAACTTTATTAGATCTCATGCTTTAGTCAAATTCAAACATTTACAGTAGGCCTATTTTAAAATAAACACTTAGTTCCATACTTTTGCAATTAATAATAAACCTTTAACACCAAAATATAAGTTTGATACACATACATATTGGGTTTTTTATATGGTATAAAAGTTTTTAACCAGGTCTATTTTTGGTGAATTGAGAATAGGCAGAAATTGAGGCAGTCGTTCAAACTATTAGAAGATTTCTTTGACTTGGCTGAAGCATCGTACACTATTCTTACCTTTGTTGTGGATTTTGCTTCGTTAATTATGGGATGATGTGGAATATAATGCTTAACAATGGCATTTCCAGGTTTCGGAACTTGTTCAATGATTCCCGCTGATCTCTGCTCCTTGATTATGTTATCATACTTTTGAAGCAAATCTGGTTGACTTGATAACCTTTTCACAAGCGATTTCAGTCGAGCTAATGAGAGAAAATAATTATCCGGCAAGTTTGGGGGGTATTCTTTCCATGGCCAAGAAACCGAATACCTATTCTCGACTAATTGGATAGTATTATTAAATTGCTTTAGAGCAATATCATCATCAATTTCAAATGGATTATCATGTATACCTAAAGTTTCAAGACTCCAGAGGTCTTTGACGTTAAGTTGTTCTACAAGTTGAGAATCTGCAGAATGAAAGTAAGCTTTAGGAACAAACAAGTTAGATGGCTGGACCGTAGTTAAGAATGAAGTTGAGTAAGAGTCAGTTTCAATAGAGTTTATTAAGCTCCTTCCGCTGATGACCCAGCCTAATTTAGTGTTTAAGAGGAAAAGTCCATTGCTTACCTCAATTTTGTCGTCATTTATAAAGTCCAAGTAATAGTCATTTCCAATAAGAAGGTCAATTTCGGAGTTCAGGTGTTGACCTTGAGCCAAAGTTAAGTTAGGATATATTGATTTTATTTGATCAATAATATCTATCATCCCGCTTGAGTGGACTTGTCAAGTTATGTGAGGCACAACATTTGCTTGTACGTTGATTGCGTCTTTATTTAAAAGCGATATACCAACACAAACAACAGGTGTCTCAAGAGTTTTACAACTTTTGTTTCCGAAAGTGAACACATTTAAAATCTGATGTTGTTCGGATTTTAATTGTAACTTAGAAGCTAATGTCTTTGACATGTATGACCTTTGACTACCCGAATCGAATAAAAGTCTAGTAGTGTGAGTTAGTTTGTTAACTTCATTTGTAACATTTACAATTGCAGTTTGTAAAATTACCTGTTCGTTAACTGCAAGAAGAGACGATAACTTAGTTGATTTTAGTTGAGTTGTGGTCAAGTGTGACGAGCCTCCAATTGGTTTTGGTACTTGTAACTCTCGTCTCGTAGGAACAGTCGGGGAATTCACAGCATCTTTGGTGATACCTGGTGGAAACTGTTTAGGGCAAAGGCTCCTGTGGTGAATTTTGCTTTGCTTACAAAAACACAAGCCTTGAAAGTTTTACAATTTTTAAGGCTATGTCCCCTTTTTAAACAAATAAAACATAACCCCTTTATTTTGTCCTTACGCTCACTTACTGTGCTGAATGCCGTGCATTGATCACTCCAATGGTCTTTCTCACAAAATATACATCGTCTTAGATTGCAGGACCTATCACCAGTTAACAGGGTCTCGGCAGTTGAGGTAGGTTTATGAATGATATGCTCCACAGACACATCCCTAGACTTAGTAGAAATTCTCAACAGCATCTCTGATCTCTCTCTAACGATTAGAATGTTTTGAATTGTACTACAAAGTCGATTTACGTTTAATTCTTCGCCTAAGTTTAGTTCTTCAACCTTCAGTATAACATTGAGAGGTAACTTACTAGTAATAAGTGTGAGGAAGTAGTTTGAATTTGTATCCTCCCCTAAGGCTTGTAATCATCTCATATGTTTTTCAATTATGTCGAAGGTACGACGCAAGAATTTCGTGTCATTAGACTTAACAGGAGGAATTTCTATTAGTGACTTGTAGTATGAGTTTACAATTATTGGTTTGTTAGCAAACCTACTCTTCAGTAAAGAAATTGCTGTATCATAGTTTAATGATGTTAGTGGGAGTCCGGATATACAACGTTTAGCTTCCCCCTCAAGTAATGAATTCAAATAGTTAAATTTGTCAATCACAGTAAGAGCATCATTGCTATGAATGGAGGAGGAAAAGGAATCCCAAAACTTCTGCCATTTGAGGATGTCTCCATCAAAGGTTGGGATGACAAGTTTTGGTAGTTTGACCAAACAACGTTTAGGTTCTGACACTACAGTTTGATCATGGGAGTTACATAGTTTGTCTGCATAATGGGGTGTGAAGGAATCTATTCTTACCTGTAGTTTAGCAATTACTTCTTCGCAATTGAGAACAACTTCAAATGGATCTCCCTCAGACGTACTTGCCTCTCCATTCGTTGAGTCAGTGATTACAATGTGATCAAGTTGATCATTCAAGTAAGGCTTCCAGACGTCTACGATATCCATCTAAAGTCGTCAGTGTACCTAGGAGGTCAGGTTTGGAAGAGTCCTCCCCTTGCAGAAGTGAATTGGCCTCGGTAATTGTAGTGCCCAATCTCTTGTTCAAGGTATCAATTTTCTTCAGTAGTCTTGAGGTCATATTTTCCAGCTCTGCTACCAATTGTCGCGGATTTATAAGTTTTGTTCTAAATTAAGTAAATATATTAATGTGGAAGCGTTAAAGAAGTTTTATTTTTGACAATTAAAGTATTTAAGTTTCAGTTAACATTATCTTTTTGCTATTAGTTCAACTAGTACAACTCACATTATTTTATTTTCATAATCACAACATATGGTATTAATTACATACATGTTAAAAACAGTCTTTTGGGAAATGTTATGGCTTTGCCACAATCCCTGCGTCGGGTTTCCCCTGGATTTTGGCGCGTTCATGCAGGAATCCCGTTGCGGGTTTGATGCTTGGCTTGTGTAGAATGGGCCTAACGCAGAAAGTTGACTGTCTCTTCTATACTATTGGACATTTTTACCATGAAAATAGGTATACATTAAAAACATGCACAATGTTAAATCTAAACCACACCTGCTGATTATTTTACTGTATTTATAAATATACAAACATATCATTGAAATAAAATTATTTAGACAATTACTCATATATGTACCTGGGGACCGAGCAATCATTAATATATTCTGAGTGAAGTCTTTGGTCAATGCCATATACCTTATCTTCTTTTGCAGTCTATTTATAATCAGTAAAATAATAATATCGTAGATGACTTTGTTTATGTAAGCAGCACTTATAACTTTTATGTACTGTATAGGCCTACATACTGTTGATATTTTTGTAACACACCGATTAACCCAAGTAAAAATTTTAAAAACTATATATTAACAATTATTGGTTTTTCTTTTCTGAGTCAGTTAGGCTCTTCTAACCGACCGATTTTCATAAGTAAGGAGGGGGGGGGGGTTAAAATTACCAAATAAGTGTGTTACGTAATATGTGAGTGGCCCCAAACTGAACCTGGTCTGTTTTTGACCAGGCATAGGCTGTTGATCCTGAGTTGAAGAGAGGGTCTACTGTAAAATGATAAACAAAAACCATCTTAGGCATGAGGGTTGGATATCTATAAATTGATATTGTTGAGGAGATTTTGTGAAATCTTGTTTTTAGATTTGATATATTAAAGGTACTGTAATGTGATTAGGGACATGTTCTGTGCGGGCCGCGTACCAGATGAAGACTTGAGACGTACAATGAAGGCTTGTGGTGGAGCTGTCATGACAACTGCCCATGATCTCAACGACTCCGTCCTTGGTACTTGCTCTCTGTTTGAGGAGAACCAAATTGGGGGTGAAAGGTGAGACAGACTTTAATACTAAAATGAATATTGATCGGTTCATCTGTAGTACAATCACAATTCAATGTATGTTTACACTTGAAAAAGTGAATTTCATTTTCGTATATACAATGTTTGAATTCAAATGTAATTAAATAAACAGTAGATTTGCTTCACCTGCAGTGATATTATAATCCGACCGATGATTGCCGATATTATAATCATAGAGCGTTATTTTTGTTGATAATTGTCACAAATTAATTAATATCAAAAGTAAAACAAAATATAAATACGCCTCGAGCAATTTTGATTTTTATCACATTTGATCTCGTGTTCTTGGTTTGTGACTAAATTTTAAGGATTAGGATTTCAGATTTTAAATCCCTGACTTTTATCTGTGGTTACCATAACCAAAATAAAAAAACCAATATAACATCAAAATTATTGTTTGTTTAAGAGTTAAAACATTAAAAACAAAAAAGCATTGTACAAGGTGAAAAACATGTAAATTTTTGTTATCAGCTAGTTATTGGTCAGTTAAACTGTTTTACTTGATATCACCAATTTAATTATTCTTTTTTAGATGTTTGGTAATTTTTGGCACCAGTCTCCAATTAAAGGATACATGTTTTATAGTTTTGATTGTTATTTTTATTTGTTTGGTATAGTTAAGTCATCCAAAGTTTCTTAGTTTTAAAATGTTTTATGCAGTTCTTGAATCTGGAGTTATTCTTGGTTTTTTTTATGTCCTAGTTGGTATAAGGAAGTAAGTTATGCTTATTATAAGCGGCCAATTTTGTCCTAGAATTTTCAAATTTTTTACCCGAAAAACCTGAAAACAAATCTTTTTTTAGTGGGGCGCTGGACACCCTCTATGATTCAATTCAGCAGGTTACTGTTGTTTTTATTCATTTACACATTTAAACATTTGTATTTTTAACATTTATTTTTTAATCATTTCTAGGTTCAACTTTTTCTCTGGATGCTCAAACGCAAAAACATGTACAATTGTTTTGCGGGGAGGAGCAGAACAGTTTCTGGAAGAGACAGAGCGTTCACTGCACGATGCCATCATGATTGTACGAAGGACCATCAAGAATGATGCAGTTGTTGCAGGTAACATGTCAAAGAAAGTGATGTTATAGAATAGATTTGTATTTTTTTTTTTTTTTTTTAGTATTTAGTTAAGAAATGCGGTAGTTAGGAGTGGGAAGTGTATTTTTTCAGCGGAGTCGAGTATGTATCTGATTATTGTTAGTTTATTAAATCTTTTTATTCATGAAGTGTTAATGAATTGATTGTAGTGAAATCTTAATAAGATTAGCCTCTGTTACTATGTCAGGATGTGCAGCCAACCTGGAAACCGGAAAGTAAACATGAATTTTGATGACCTGGGAAAAATCTATGATTAGTATGTCTAGAAATTTGTATAGGATAGAACAGAGAAATTAAAATTGTTTAGCAAAACTTGAAAAATTTGACTGAAATCACTTATTGTTCTGGTTTTGCTTAACTAGTAGAAATCGGGATTGTGGGAAACTATCCTGAATCACATTGCAGTGATCGAAAGGAATCATCACGCACATTGCTGCGATCATGAGATCATCACAAATTTGTCTGTGATTGCAAAATGATCACAGATGAGACAGTGATTACAAAAAATAGTCATGGGTGTTGAGAATGTTGAGATAATCGCCGGACATTATTGCAGACGTTGCCACGATCTCATGAAATCATCACAAGTCACAAGTTTCACGATCACGGTATATCATAACAGTTATTGCAGAGATTGTGAAAAATGATCAAAGGTTTATGATCGCCGGAGAGATAAACGTATGGTGCCGCGATCTTAAGACATTATATCACATGTGTAGCCGTGATCGAAAGACATCATGTGTTGCCGTGATTGTGAGAAATCGACACAGTAAAAATATTAATATCTACCTTTTGGCATTGCTATTTGCGACTTGTTTCGTCAACACAGTAACATCTTCAGGCATTCACTAAAGCTTCGTCATAAATATTAACATGAAACTGTCATTACACACATAGTAAAAAAAAAATACTTTTAACAAAAAATTGGTATTGTATGCACACCATCAATTCTGCCCGTTGCCCCAACAATTGTTTGGATAGAAATGCATCAACAGATAAGTTTACTGGAGAAAATTGAAATTAGTAGGTAAATTATGATAATTTCAAAGTCATAGAGTAGTAGGCTACAGTAATTAAATGTTATAATCATCAGTACAAATTTGTTTGAATTAACCAGTGAAATTACTAGTGGAGTGAGGAAACATCTCACTCACCAACGTAAGGAAAAAATTTAAGGTTTAACTTTACAATTTGGCCAACAATACACTGTACAGTGTGATATGATATCTTAGTTGCCCCTGAATAAATTTTTGAATGACCATCTTTAGATTTTAGTATCAATCTTTCATACCAAAGCCCAGTGACAAAATTTAGGCGGTTTGAGGGAAAGTTCCCCCACAACATTTTTCTGCTTAATGTATGTTGCATGATTAGGATCAAGACGTGGATGGGATGGATTTTTAAAGTTGATTACAAGTTAACTAAAATTCTTGCAAATTACAATTCAACGACAATGTCATGTTTAATAACAATAAATACTCTTATTCTTAACCAACTTTAACTTGTTTTTTTACGACAAGTCCATTTATGTATTAGGTGGTGGTGCTATTGAGATGGAGCTGAGTAAGATGTTGAGAGACTATTCTCGCACCATCGCAGGCAAGGAGCAGCTTCTCATTGGAGCCATTGCCAAGGCTTTGGAGGTTATTCCACGTCAGTTGTGTGACAACGCTGGCTTTGATGCCACCAACATACTTAACAAACTCCGCCAGAAACATGCTCAAGGTGAATACAGTTGAGCTCCAACTATCCAGATCACCTCTATAGTCCAAGAATTTTAGGGATAAAACTGCCATTCGACCTAACAAATTCGGACTAAGTGGAAACTTTGCACAGTTGTTTAGTAAGCCGACGTAAATAAAATATCAAAAGTCCCCTATAAATCCCGGCTGTGCTTCAGCCGCCATCTTGGAAAATGGCGGCCAATTTTCATTTTTTTGACAATATTTCACAAACTATTGGTATTAGATAATTTTTGTAAATACAAAAGTTAAAAAACGTCTAAAAATACATCTTTTTTATATTAGAAGGTTTGCTCTATCTCTAACGGTTATTGAGATAAATAATAAAAGTTAGTATTAAATTTCAAATTCCCATGTTATTCTTATGGAGGAAAATAAAATGGTTGCAGTTGCTTATTTATGGATATATTTTAATCAAACTTGGCAAATTGATTTATTTCATACTAAGCTAATAATATTTAACACAAATACGCGCTTTATTACTCTCCCCATGGCAGTAAACCTAGTACTCGTTAAATTTATAGGGAATCTATCTTACATTTTTAGGAAGTATTTTGGTAATGATCCAGTCTGGCAAATGGAAATTTATTTTTTGACATATATTAACAATAGTTTTCCCTTATTAGTAATACAGTTTAAAGTCCACTCACTATCTTTTCACTACTATGTAACTACTTACATGGTAGGCCTACTTATTACTCCCGCTATAATTATTTTGTCGGTGAATATTAGGAAATTCAACCTTAAAATCCGGACTAAATGAGCTGAGGCACAGCCGGAATTTGTGGTGACTTTTGCCATTTTCATCAACTAGGTTTACTGCGAATAAACTGTGCAAAATTTCAATTTAGTGTGGATTTTAAGGTTCAATTTCCTAATATTTACCGACAAAATAATTATACCGGGAGTAATAACGTACCATGTAAGTTTTGAGTAGTTACATAGTAGTGACAAGATAGTAAGTGGGCTTTAAATCATAAAACTAATAAGAAAAAATTATTGTTAATATGATTAACAAATGAATATCCATTTGCCTGACTGGAATTTTACTAAAAATATATCCTAAAAATGTAAGATATATTCCCTATTTAAATAACTTTAAATTTAACGAGTACTAGGTTTACTGCTATAGGGAGGGTACTAAAATGTGTATTTGTGTTAAATATTAATAGCTTAGTATAAAATAAATAAATTTGCCAAGTTTGATCAAAATATATCCATAAATAAGCAAACTGCATCAATTTTATCTTCCCCTATAAGAATAACATGGGAATTTTAAATTTAATACAAACTTTTATTATTTATCTCAATAACTGTTAGAGATAGAGCAAACCTTCTAATATAAAAAGATGTATTTTTAGACGTTCTTTAACTTTTGTATTTACAAAAATTATCTAATACCAATAGTTTGTGAAATATTGTCAAAAAAGTTAAAATTGGCCGCCATTTTCCAAGATGGTGGCTGAAGCACAGTCGGGATTTATGGGGACTTTTGATATTTTATTTATGTAGGCTTACTAAACAACTGTGCAAAGTTTCCACTTAGTCCAAACTTGTTAGGTTGATTTTCCTAATATCCTTCCACTACTAGTAGAATAAAGTCAGCTAGAAAAATAAGTTTGTTGCAGTTTATGGTAATCTGTTACATATTTTAAGTGAGCCAATTGTGTCCATCATGTAGCGGCTAGTCTATCGTAGTGTTATACGATTTGCAGGTGATTAGACAAATCTAAATAGTGCAACTAAGTGAAAAATACAATCATCCAGAAAAGATACAGGCCCCAACTGATCCAGTTGTTTAATACTAGAACAATATCTCTTTTGTAATATCTATTGTAAAATCTCTGATGGAGCAAACTATAAAAAGCCAATTTTTACATAAGTGATGTGCTTATATGATAAGCCACATACAGCAAAAATGTCCATGTTGGTATTTGATCCTAAGCCGAGTTATACAATTTTGAATTTAAAGGAAACTTCAACTTTTGCGCCAGCTTTAATCACCAGATATAGGTATAGAAAATTTATACACAAGCTAGTAACAATGCAATAGTAAACTTGTTACAAAATTAAAAGCTAGAATATGTCCAGGAAAAAGATCAGGAACCAAAGTGGTTAAAAGCGTTTGGTTCTATCTTAAAGATTTACAGTCAACGGTTCTATATAACTTAAATGGACTTATGGACTATATTTAGCGTTTAAGAAGACTCATCCAGAGGGTCAGTGTTATACATATGATACATTATCAAAACTTTGGCAGATCAAAATTTTGTGAGCTGCTGCCTAAGTGGTGCATTTTGGCTGGACCCTCAGGTCTTTTTTCCTGGACATATTCTAGCTTTTAATTTTGTAAAAAGATTACTATCACATTGTTATAGATTTTCTACACCTAAATCTGGTGATTAAAGCTGGTGCAAAAGTTGAAGTTTCCTTTAAATTCATAATTTTATAACTCGGCTTAGGATCAAATACCAACATGACATTTTTGCTGTATGTGGCTATCATATAAGCACATCACATATGTATTATTGGATTTTTATAGTTTGCCCCACCAGAGATATTACACTTCAAACTTTTTAAATATTGGAAAATTTAGATTTTTAAAAGCTTATTAAAAGTTAACGAGACTGAATTCAGGCCTAATATTCTGACATATGTTAGTATTTTACCTTATCTTACAGGATAAAAATCATAAGCTATGGTATTTAATTCCTTTATTGTAAAACTAGGCCTTAAAAAGAGCACTTTGTTGAAAAGTGTTTTCAAAATAAGATGACAATTTTAAGGCATTAGTGCTTGCTTTAGAAAAAATGTTTTATTGCTGATGCTAAGCCCAAAAACGCTATGCGCGGCCTGACAAAAATAGCCGCAGCTTCTAAACAGAACTAGATAAAGATATTTAAAAACGGTTTTAAGGTCATTATTATGAAGTTAATAACATATATAATTATTTTTAAAATATAGAATGGTCATATGCAACCAAGTATTTTTTTATTGGATCACTTCAGATGGATTGACCCGTTAGCGAGAAGCAAACATAAGTTATATGTGCTATTTAGTGATGGGCGGATCCAAGGAAATGTCGGTACCCGATCCGGATCCAGATACACACTGTCATAAGGGCGGGGGGAAAAAACGTAATTAACAGAATGCCAATTTAAATCACACAGTTTAAAATTAAATTGGTAATGTTTAAAGGTTAATATATCTTATATATAGAGTAATCTCCAGTTGAGCCCATAATCCCTCATTTTTTGGAGACACTAAAACTTTTCAAAATCATAAAATTAATCTTTGTGCTAGGTTTGCACAACCACCAAAAGGGTATCTGTGTATATTTTATAGGGATGGACGGGTCCCGAAATTTCGGGAATTTTTCGGGAAAAAAATATTCCCGATTATCGGGACGGGATTACATTTGACTCGGGAATTTTTCGGGACGGGATTTGGTCCGATCGTCGGCGATTTTTCCGCTTCGCGAGTGCCGATAACGCCGTTATTGCGAGCGACAGGTCCGCGAACAAAGGAGACGAAGTCATGTCGACGATTACGCCGTGACCGCGGAGTCCTACCGACGATCGCGCCGTGACCGCGGAGTCCTACCGACGATCGCGCCGTGACCACGGAGTCCTACCGACGATCGCGCCGTGACCGCGAGTCATACCGACGATCGCGCCGTGACCGCGGAGTCCTACCGACGATCGCACCGTGACCGCGGAGTCCTACCGACGATCGCGCCGTGACCGCGGAGTCATGCTGACGATCGAGCCGTGATCGCGAGTCATACCGACGATCGCGCCGTGACCGCGGAGTCATACCGACGATCGCGCCGTGACCGCGAGTCATACCGACGATCGCGTCGTGACCGCGAGTCATGACGACAATCGCGCCGTGACCGTGGAGTCATACCGACGATAACCCCGTGACCGCGGAGTCATACCGACGATCGCGCCGTGACCGCGAGTCATACCGACGATCGTGCCGTGACCGCGAGTCATGACGACGATCGTGCCGTGACCGTGCAGTCATACCGACGATAACCCCGTGACCGCGAAGTCATACCGACGATCGTACCGTGACCGCGAGTCATGACGACGATCGCGCCGTGACCGCGAGTCATGACGACGATCTCGCCGTGACCGCGAGTCATGACGACGATCGCGCCCTGACCGCGAGTCATGCTGACAATCGCGCCGTGACCGCGAGTCATACCGACGATCGCGTCGTGACCGCGTGTCATGACGACGATCGCGCTGTGACCGTGGAGTCATACCGACGATAACCCCGTGACCGCGGAGTAATACCAACGATCGCGCCGTGACCGCGAGTCATGACGACGATCGCGCCGTGACCGTGAGTCATACAGACGATCACCCCGTGACCCACGAGTCACAAGTTTCTATAGGTTACCCATTTTTTGGTTTTTATAGATCAGTGCCACAAATGGTAAAAATTGATTTCGTATGTCTCTTTTGGTAACTGCAATACAGTACTTTCTTTTTATGCACAGAAAAAAATCCCGTCCCGTCCCGTCCCGAAAATCGGGAAGGAAATAAAAATCCCGTCCCGTCCCGTCCCGAACTAAAAATTCAATCCCGTCCATCCCTAATATTTTACTATAGTTCGATCTTGAGTATGCTATATCGTGGTTTTTGCATGCATCATCCAATTTATTTATGCCTGGATCACCTCTTGTTAATCTCTTCCTTAAATTTTTTCCAGGTCCACAGTACTGATAGCTGGGTATGTGAAGTTCTACAGGTAAAATACCCTGTGCCTGTGTACAAGAAGATTATACTGTGTTCTAGCTAACTTAAAAACATATTAGATGGGGGAGTCTTGACTTTTTATTCACCCTGTATGTACATTGTACACAGATAATCTTCTTTTACACAGACACAGGGTATTTTACCTGTAGAATTTCACATACCCGTCTATCAGTACGGTGGACCTGGAACGAATTTAAGGAAGAGATAAGCAAGGGGTGGTCAAGGCATAAATAAATTGGATGCTACATGCAAAAACCACGATATAGCATACTCAAGATCGAAGGATAGTAAAATTAGATCAGTGGCTGACAGCTTATTAGCTTGGGAAAGGGTAAAAGCTTCAATCTCTAGTATTGGTGAGAGAGCTGCCGCCTGGGCAGTTACAAACATAATGAAAACTAAAGCAAAACTTGGCCGGGGAAAAGGGAAGACTCAAAAAAAAAAAAAAAAAACACAAATAAGAAAGAAAAAACCTGTTGAGAAAAAGAAAAAAATCCTAAATGTGCCTGCAAGTGGAAAAATAAAAGTGGTAAGTGGCTCTATTTGAGACCTTATATACAGGATCTGGTAGTAACAGTAACAAAAATGTATTCATATGAAAAAATTTAAAGACTTCCAGAAAAACTATTAAGTAGTTTGGATTTAATAAAACTTGCTGCCGATTTAAAGTTGCCTTATTTTAGAGGAGTCTTCTTGTACACAGATTAGTGATGGACGAGACTAGATTTTTCACTTCGAGACGAGACAAGATTTTTTTAATTCCCACGGGATGGGATTTTTTTTGGGACGAGATTTAATTGACAGTTATAAAAAAAAAATATCAAAGAATTGATATGGCAAAGCCATGTCTCAGTGTTTGTCTCTTGATGCAAATAAGTTATATGGCAAGGCTATATCTCGGTGTTTGTCTCTTGATGAAAATAACTTAAATGGCAAGGCTATGTCTCGGTGTTTGTATCTTGATGCAAATAAGTTATATGGCAAGGCCATGTCTCGGTGTTTGTCTCTTGATGAAAATAACTTATATGGCAAAGCCATGTCTCAGTGTTTGTCTCTTGATGAAAATAACTTATATGGCAAAGCCATGTCTCAGTGTTTGTCTCTTTATGCAAATAAATTATATGGCAAGGCCATGTCTCGGTGTTTGTCTCTTGATGCAAATAACTTATATGGCAAGGTCATGTCTCGGTGTTTGTATCTTGATGCAAATAAGTTATATGGCAAGGCTATATCTCGGTGTTTGTCTCTTGATGAAAATAACTTAAATGGCAAGGCTATGTCTCGGTGTTTGTATCTTGATGCAAATAAGTTATATGGCAAGGCCATGTCTCGGTGTTTGTCTCTTGATGAAAATAACTTATATGGCAAAGCCATGTCTCAGTGTTTGTCTCTTGATGAAAATAACTTATATGGCAAAGCCATGTCTCAGTGTTTGTCTCTTTATGCAAATAAATTATATGGCAAGGCCATGTCTCGGTGTTTGTCTCTTGATGCAAATAACTTATATGGCAAGGTCATGTCTCGGTGTTTGTATCTTGATGCAAATAACTTATATGGCAATGCCATGTCTCAGTGTTAGTCTTTTGATGCAAATAACAAGGGCAAGTATCTTGCCGCACCGAATCCGACCCGATTTTTTGGATATCCGCACACCTCTAGTTTTTAGTTTTGTACCTGGATGATTAGCTAACGGCCCATAATCTCGTCTCGAAAATATCCTGTTAGTATTTCTATCCCGCCCGAAGCTTCGGGATAGAAAAGTCTCGATGTTTCGGGTCTGGTCCATCACTAACACAGATAGTCTTCTTATACACAATCACAGATAGCTTTGTGTTAGTAAAAAATCGGACAAAAACGGTCTTGTACATACCCTAGACATAACACCTCCACCATTGAACATTCTCCATATTACTCTGGTATAAAATTGTATAATAGCCTGCCTAGCACCATAAAGGGTTTGACAGATTTTAAAAGATTTAAAACCAGTTTATTCAAATTGTTGTCAGATAAATGCTGCTACGAGATCGGGGACTTTTTCAATTAGCTATTAGTATGTCAAATCAATAGTTATGTATATCAATGTATAGTTATGTTTATTCTTGACTTGACACAATTCATGTATACAAATGTACTGTTTGAATAAAGGATTTTTTGATTGATTGATTGATTTGTGTTAGTAAAATATCTGTAAAAATCGGATCCAGCCCAAGATCCGGAATTTTTTGGATCCGATCGGGTGCCGGTTCTAGCTCGGATCCGGTAGGCCGATATCCGGATCCGACCATCACTAGTGTTATTAAATGAATTTTTAACAGGTATCAGTATCGAGTGCGGAATCGAGAATTGAAACCAAAGTTGTAGAATCGGAATCGACCAATTCAGTAAACGGCCTAAAACATTACCACAGACCAAAATCAGGGTCTTTAAATGTATACCTTTTAAACTGATAATTGTTTCCCCATTCATTGTTTCCACAGGAATAATTTTTTCTTTAAATGACAGGGCAGTGCTGGTATGGTGTTGATATCACAAAAGAGGATGTCAGTGACAACTTTGAGAACTGTGTGTGGGAGCCAGCAATTGTCAAGAAGAATGCCCTGACTGCAGCGTGTGAAGCGGCCTGTCTCATTCTGTCCGTAGATGAGACCATCAAGAACCCCAAGTCAGGTGGAGGTGAAGGAGGTCCTCCCATGGGTCGGGGCCGTGGTCGCCCCATGTAATACTTTGAACCTTTACATATGAGTATTAACACATCTAATGGAGACTAATAATTTAAAGTGTTGCCTTAAGATAGTTCAACACATGCATTTTATGTTAACAAAAGCTTTTTTTAATGTTGCTAAGAAAATAAAAACTGAAACAATAAACAACTATTTATTTATTTGTATTTGTAGTTTATATGTTATTTTGAGCTTTTTTTTACAACAAAACACTTCCAATTTATTCTTGAGTGATTTTGGACACAGCAAAATTGATAACATCTCACAATGTCATGGTGAATCATTAACATCTTCCACAGTCACAGAAAAATACGTGAAAATTGTGAACGTCTTCCAGACAACTTCATTATTGTCTACCAAGACTGTGAACATCACTTGCTGTGATCAAACATCTCTGTTAAAGCTTTCTGCAATTTCAAAAATAAAAGATCGACTCAACCCAAGTTTGGCCCAAAAAATATATCCCGCCCAATCCAACCACTAGAAATTCATTATGTGCAACATTGATTTAAATTACATTTTGTAGCCCTGAACTGCGTAGTATAGACCAAACTATTACATACCTCATCTTGCAGTTCAAATATAGTGTTTGAAGTCCACTAAATATTATGTTTCGCCATATATGGCATTCTCAAGTGGTTACAGAAACATTTTACCCAATTTGGACTCGTCAACATGTTTGTCTGTCTCAGTCAGTGTTGTTGGTCGGGTCATGTGTTGTAGGCCTACATGTTTAAATGTTTTTTATTCGTTTATTTATTTTGGTGTCATAATGTAAATATTTTTTTATTTGAAGCAACATGTTGACGAGTCCAAATTGGGTAAAATGTTTCTGTAACCACTTGAGAATGCCATATATGGCGAAACATAATATGTAGTGGACTTCAAACACTATATTTGAACTGCAAGATGAGGTATGTAATAGTTTAGTTGCAACATTGAGTTGTAAATAAATTAATACAAGGTGATTAAAAAAGAAGTGAAGAACTTTGTACATCTATAAACTAACAGTTACATAGATTAAAATCCATGTTTTAGCTCCAGAGCTGTATAGTAACTAAAAATAGGCTTTATCTTTGTCAATGCAGGTCTAATAATGGTGTAACTACGTTGGTTACGGCCGTTTCGGCATTACAATGCAATCGTCAGACTACGAAATCTCGGCTGAAGTAGCATCGTTGAAGTTAAAACACATAACACACAATATGAATAACATTTAAACATTTTACAAAAACGATCAGGCTTGTCGTACTAACTGAAACGGTTGTTCCGAGCAAAACGCCGACTGGAGGATTCCTATGTTATGCCCGGTGTGGTGGCGTTATCAGTTGAACTTTGTACTCCTGGCTTCCGGTTCCTTTTCTGATTTAAAATGCTAAATGCTATTGAATATAAAGTGTGACTTGTACTTTAGTTTGTCGTTTAAAATTATATTGTCCAAATTATTTTTGGTGTAAGCTTTGTAAATTTCATACTCTTCTAGGGTGTCCAGTCTATTGCCTTTCTTACTTGTGTGCACTATTTCTAAGACAGTGTTCAGATCGTTCAAGTTGTGCTTTTTGTCAACCAAGTGTTGTGCAAAGGATGGGTCCGCGGAATTGGATAAATCTGGAACTCACTAACCCCATGTTAAACGCCCTATCTTCAAATTCGGTCGATGAGAGGAACTCGCTGACTTGTTCGGGTTCGGAATTGGCTAACTCCGGAACCCACTTAGCCACCTAGAGCCCGGTTAGCGAGTTCCGTCCTCGTACGGAAGTTGCTAACTCGGTCCCTCGGCGGAACTCGCTAACTCCTAATCAGAAGCCTCGCGCGCCGTCCGATGGGAGCCCAGCACGAAGATTGTTGGCCAGTGTTAATACTACCATTTGGCTACCATAATGTCGTATCCTACGAATAATTAGGAGTAAGAGCAATGTAGTCGATAAAATAAATATATATAAGAAGTATGTTTAGTATTATTCTTATGATTATTATTAGGGTGGGGAAAATGCATTATAGTCTTACCAAAGACTAACCAACTGAAGTAAACTTAACATCCCATTCTAAATTTTGAAGCTCGTTTTTCGTGTCTAGTTCATGACACTGATCACACAGTGACACTGATCATAATCTGTGTCACCGGACAATGCTATAAATAATGCTGGGTTGGAAGTGACAAAACCTCCAAAGCGATTTTGAGAAGGTTGATTCACACACATCAGTTACGGCACGTCGCAGTCCAGTCACTTCAGGCACATCACAGTTAACAAAAATATTCTTAAATGGATTTTCTGTTGCGCTATCTACATTCATCCGTTGCAGTTCCGTCAGTCGCTCTGCTGGCGTCCGTCAGTCAGTTTCAGATTTTTTTCCACCGATATTTTTGGATTGTTCGGACGCCTGACGGACCTGTTTGAGGTTAGAAAATAGTGTTTTTATTATTTAAATGATTGTGTTTATATTTTGTTTGAGTACTGTTTGTAACAATTAACAAGAAGGACAATTATTAACATTTGATAGAATATAATAGGTTTATAATTTTAAATTTTGTCATTAATTTAAATGTGTTAATTAATGTAAATTAATGTAAATATTAGAGACTTAAGACTGACTGAAACCAACTGACGGATAGTTGACCTAAAAATTGCGGATGCAACTGAGACTGAACAGTATCTGTACTGTAACGGAACTGTGACTGAACTGATATGTGTGAATCGACCTTTAGGCCTACATAATTTCACAGTTTCATCCGTTGACAAAAGATGTTGAGTCTATTCTTCTTAATTAATCAATTTTTTATGTCTAGTGTATGAATGTAATGTAATAATTGTTCATAAATTCTAAACTCTATGAAGTATTTTAAGTCATTTTGCCGGTGGTGTGATAACCGATGGAAGGTCTAATATTACTTGAACTGCAGCGTTTGTCCAAACTGTGCTTGTCAAATATGATTTAGAGATACTCTTTAGGCCTTCATAATTTCACAGTTTCATCTGTTGACAAAAGATGTTGTGTCTATTCTTAATTTATCAATTTTTTAGGCCTATGTCTAGTGTATGAATGTAATGTAACAATTGTTAATTAATTCTACACTCTATGAAGTATTTTAAGTCATTTTTCCGGTGGTGTGATAAATGACGGAAGATCTAATATCGCTTGAACTGCAGTCCAAACTGTGCTCGTCCAATATGTAATTATGGCAGTAATGTACGAGAATTTTTCTGGGATCAATAATTATTGAGAGTTAAACAGAATATGTGTAAAATTTGTATGTCAAATATGAGAAGGGCGAATATCACGTGTTATTTGCACTGCACTGACTTTTGACATAATAGAACAACAGAAGGACCAGAATTGCTTGACAAGATAGAGAAAGAGAGTGATTGAATAGGTTTTGTTTTCTGACTAGGACGTCAGTAGGGCCTAACTGTTGTACAACTAATTGTACAAAACACAAAATTTTGGTTATTATTTACAGGGATAATTATACGAATCTGAGTTCCACTACTTCCTTAGTGTATTTAATTGTTGTGATTCTAATCAATTAGGCATCCTCTTAAAACCCCGCCAATCTTAAATTCACTTAGTATAAAAATTCCGGCTTGTAAAACCTGATGCCTTGGAAGGGTGAGGGGTGAGGGCTTTGACCTTGATCCAGCACCTCTATTTCTAGTGCAGTTAAACTACAGTAGACTCCCTCTTATCCGGACTTCTCGGGACCAATGTCCGATTAAAAGGTGTCCGAATAATAGGGAGTCTACGGTTTAGTCAAACATTCAACAAGACGGACGCCGAGTGTAGGGGTACCCCTGACGACCCTGCATAAGTAAATATAATTTACTAAGCAGTAGTGATGGTCGGATCCGGATATCGGACTACCGGATCCGAGCTAGAACCGGCGCCGGATCGGATAAAAAAAATTCCGGATCTTGGGCTGGATCCGATTTTTTCAAATTTTCCCGATTTTTTCCTAACACAAAGCTGTCTGTATCACTGTACAACTCCGATTTTTTTACCAACACAAAGCAGTCTGTATCACTGTACAACCCCGATTTGTTTACTAGCCACAAAGCTGTCTGTATCACTGTACAACCCCGATTTGTTTACTAACGTAAAGCTGTCTGTATCCATGTAAGAGACCGATTTCCACCCGATTTGTGTACTAACACAAAGCTATCTGTATCACTGTACAACCCCGATTTTTTTATCAACACAGAGCTATCTGTATCCATGTACAAGACCGGCTGAGATTTTTTAGATTTTCCTTACCTGCCCCACTCATCAGCAAGTCCGCTAAGAACTTAAATATTGGATTTACATATGCTATGTGGCTAGGGGTCTCAATCCCGGGCCTTCAATCCAATCCCGCGATTTCATTTTTGTTTGTATACTAGCATCTCATTTTCCTGGTCAGGAACCGATGAGAACCTCTTCTGCGAATGAGTGAGGGATTGTGGGTGAGCCCCTCACGTTGCTTTAAGAAAAATTATAAAATTAATTTTATCATTTTGAATACCGGTAATGATATTTTTAAACTGTCATAACCTAACCTAATCAACCAAACTTGCTGATATCGAATGAAGGTTTACTAATAAAGAAATATTTCTGTTCATAAAATAAAATTATAAATGCTTCAAATTCTAACAAAAGATGTACAGTTAAGAAGTAATCACATTCTAAGCAAAATCTTTGACAAAAAGTTCATTTCACCGATGGGATTCGATCTGGATACCTCATGGACGTCAGTTGAGTACTCTCTCTTTCCACTACACCAAGAGAAGAGTGACGTCACGCCCCCCACTCCTTCGCTAAAGAGGTTCTCGACGGTTCCTGACCAGGAAAACTAAAACGCTATAGGTTTGTATTACTGTATTCTGTTTTGTTTATTTCAGCTTAACTTAACCAATCAATAGTTTTATTAATACTTATGAAGTCAAATGAGGTGAAGCCCGTGGGTAACAGCTAGTAGAGCTAATTAATAGTCAATTGTATATTATTTGGTATGAATTGGTCAAAGTTTATTTTACATTTAGGGTACAATGTGGAAAAAAATGTTTGAGAGTAATAGGAAAAATACTCTTTTTACAATTAAAAAAAATATATATCTATAAATAAAATGAAACAACACACAAACAACATACAAATATTTAGACCATGTGAAATTGCTGAATTTGATGATCACTTGCAGGAAACGTAGTGTAAATAACCGTTTCTGTTTGGCCATTCTGCTCGGTGAGCAAATTTCCAGTGATTGTTTGTCCACCTGAGAAAACAGCATACACATTAGCTAGCAAAGACTAAGCAATTCTTGAACATGCATTTAAAATTGGGACTGTTGGTGGCGTAACATTAAATTGTTCACTAATCTTAATTTATTTTTAATTTACAAAAATAGAATAAACAATACTGTCAGTAAGTAGTATCAGCAAAACATTTGAACTAAGTTGAGTTCTTTTCTGTTGATTTACATGGTTGCTCAATTCATGCCAGTCATTTGCTTGTGTTATGCAACATATGGTTATAATTAAAAAAAAAACAAAAAAAACCTTCAATTAATGTTTATTTTCAATAAAGTGGTAATTAACATGTGTACAGAAGATAGCGAGAAATAATTGTCAACTCTTCAAAACAACTGTAAAAATAAGAAGATATAAAGAAGTCAATGATAACAACTCATCTCCATTCATTATTGGGAAAATTTGTAGCAAAGGAGTTGGGCCACAATACGTCTTACGGGGTAATGCATTTAACACATGCTGAACAATGAATGCATTTGACTTGCGTCAGTACTATCAGTTGGGGGCTGCGGTGTTAATGCATTTAACATATGCTGAACAATGAATGCATTTGACCTGCATCAGTACTATCAGTTGGGGGCTGCGGTGTTAATGCATTTAATATATGCTGAACAATAAATGCATTTGACTTGCGTCAGTACTATCAGTTGGGGGCTGCGGTGTTAATGCATTTAACATATGCTGAACAATGAATGCATTTGACTTGCGTCAGTACTATCAGTTGGGGGCTGCGGTGTTAATGCATTTAACACATGCTGAACAATGAATGCATTTGACTTGCGTCAGTACTATCAGTTGGGGGCTGCGGTGTTAATGCATTTAACATATGCTGAACAATGAATGCATTTGACCTGCATCAGTACTATCAGTTGGGAGCTGCGGTGTTAATGCATTTAATATATGCTGAACAATAAATGCATTTGACTTGCGTCAGTACTATCAGTTGGGGGCTGCGGTGTTAATGCATTTAACAAATGCTGAACAATGAATGCATTTGACTTGCGTCAGTACTATCAGTTGGGGGCTGCGGTGTTAATGCATTTAACACATGCTGAACAATGAATGCATTTGACTTGCGTCAGTAGTATCAGTTGGGGGCTGCGGTGTTAATTCCTTTTCACATATATGCTGAACAATGAATGCATTTGACTTGCGTCAGTACTATCAGTTGGGGGCTGCGGTGTTAATGCATTTAACATATGCTGAACAATGAATGCATTTGACCTGCGTCAGTACTATCAGTTGGGGGCTGCGGTGTTAATGCATTTAACATATGCTGAACAATGAATGCATTTGACCTGCGTCAGTACTATCAGTTGGGGACTGCGGTGTACTGAAGAAGTCGTTGCGGTAAATGGTAAATTGTCGTTGCTGGTGACATGTAAGCTACAACTTGACCGATCACTTTTGGAGTAGCTCAAAAACATGTGCCGTCATGCGGGTTGTTCTCGTGACCCAAGTAAAGGCCACTTTACTATGGCTATGAGTTATCTTAGTATTAAAATAGGTAAAGCCTTTAGCTCAACCTTTTTTTAACTCTTGACACAATCCTGTTAGGAGTCAAAGCATAGACTACATAATCAATCCTCATGGATAAAAAAAAAACAAACAAAAAAGTACATACATTAAAAAAGTAGTTATGTATTAAGAAGTGTATTTGTTCATGTTTTAATACATTTTAATTATTGTATGAGCTTGTTTTTCGTGTCTAGTTCATGTTGGTCACAATGGGCGCTAGTGTGGACAAAATTTTGTTTATATTATTTTAGGGTTGATTTCATGATTTATGCTTTACTGTTTAGTTGTATGACTTGGAGACGAGTTATTTTTTATGATTAGATTGTTTTATTTGGTTAGACAAGGTTTTAAATAACTGAAATAACAAGAAACAAATTCTAAACAAAAATACGATCCCATCCAGTGGCAGCTAGCCCATAAGGACTCCCGAACGCTGCCCTCCCAACAATACATAGATAAATTACATTTTAATATTCTGCATTGGAGCAAGTGTCCAATTTGCTCTAATACAATACCGCTATGTGCGGATTCTTTTCCAAAAGTTTCTCACTGTTGCTTTTAATTTTAGCTCCTCTTGAAGAAGCTCTTAAAATCCTATTTCTTAGCTCATCCGCTGTTTGAATTGGTGTTCGGTAAACTTCCTGTTTTCTGGTGTCCGTAGTGTCCAATCAATTATTGTTCCGCCCCTTCCAATCCACATTGGAAAAGTATTTCCACTGTAAGCTCGTACACCATTATCGAAGTGGGAAGGTGCACAATCTGCTTGCTAAACTTTGCTGACGCACATCCAATGGGGCAACTTCAATGAGCCTTGGTAAAGTATCAGGAAGGACGTTGAGATACTGACAGCAAGTGAATGATGGTGGAAGATCAATGCTGATTAACTGGTTTCAGATTATTCCAGCCCATACATTGACTCAAACCTTTGTTTCATTTCAACATCACATGTAGGTTTTCTGTAGCATAATGATGTCCATTATTGCTGTCGTAAATACCACCCCAAGTAAACTTCATCTTGAGGTAGTCACGATGATCAAGTTGACCAACAGAGCAAAAAAACTGAAGTCTCTGCAAACATTCTCTTGGTTGTATGTCCTTGTGTGAAATGGTATTAATGGTAGGGATGCAATTTTCCTTTCTCATGAGGTCTCTCTCTTCTTCTTAGAGACGTAAGTTTGAGAAATTCTTAACTCACGAGAAACTGTGCTTGTCTGAGGATCGTCCTCAAACCACCCCAACACATTGATTAAGACAAAGATTAACCCATTGGGGTAGTAGTTTTTTTAGTGAGCGCAGACCCTCAGGCAGGAGTTAATTTTACAAATTTTGTATACTTTTGCTAAATATGACATAAAAACTTTATTTATTGAGATAAATCAATAATTCTTTTTGTATTTTGTGTATAAAAGTCTGTTCTATCAAAAACAATAATATTAATGATGAAATTCCATTTACACCTTTTTTTAAGCGGTTGAATTAAAAAAAAATAATTAAAAAATATTTTTGAAAGCATGTATATATTTTTTTTATAAATCTCTATGTAAACCAGCTATATTATATATTTTCAAAAACTACAGAATAAACTCTACATAGAAATACAATTTTATTAGTATCTGACCAAAAATAAAGTAACTAGAGAAAATATTCGGATTACATATACCTTCAATTTTTACGAGCGCAAGGCCTCAGGCAGGAGTAAATTTTACAAATAGTGTAGACTTTTGCTAAATATGACATAAAAACTTTATTTATAGAGATAAATTTATAATTCTTTTTGTATTTTGTACATAAAAGTCTGTTCTATAAAAGAAACATATAATTTTTAGTGAAATTCTGTAAAAAAAATTTTTTTGTGGTTGAATTTTTAACAATTTTTTACAAAAAATGTTAATTTTGAAAGCAAGTACACATATTTTTTTTTTTACCTGCTAAATAACATATTTTCTGAAACTACAGAATAAACTCTTCATAGAAATAAAATCTTATTAGTCTTTGAATAAAAATAAAATAATAATAAAAAATATTCGGATTACTTACTTTTTGAAGACATTTGTTGCTACGGATACAGTTTGCTCTCTTCAAGATGGATAATATTCACAATATATTACAGTCACGCTAATTAAATTCAACTATTTACATTACACTATTTAAATTAAACTATTTACATTACACTAATTCAATTCAACTATTTACATCAGCCTACTAGGCCTATTTACATTTGCTTTGCTACTTGTTAGAAGTGTAGTTTAGTGTGGTACTCCCGGAAACAATTGTCTAGGTGCAGGGGCACATCACACCTGTCACACATCCATGTGGTCTCAGAGCGTATTTTATTTGCAGTGCACACTTTGCATTTCCTTGTTGGGTTAGTCTTGTTGGCGGTAGCTGGGAAATGTGCCCATTGTTTTGACTGCAAACGCAAAGGTGAGGGTGCAATTGGGGCTCACCCTGGACTGCACCGATTCGGGAGCACTGAAGTTTCCAAAATCTGTTCGACAATATTCAAACGAAAATCAGAGAAGTGCATGTGGTCAATCTTTTTAACTTTCTTAAAAATACAGAATGCGTTGAAGAGGGTCATGTCAAGCAGATAAAAAAATATTTTTTTATAAGCCTTTACAGTGCGTCGCATGATTGGAAAGGATGAGAGGACTTGGTCCTGTCTATCAACACCTAACATACCGTGGTTGTACGCAATCACACATTTTGGCTTCACTACTTCAATGTTCTTGCCCCCTATGTTGACGACCTTTGACACATCCATGTCAATGTCTTTTTGCATGGTTGACAGCATGTACACATTTTTTCTGTCACTCCACTTTATACCAAGAACTCCTCGCCCTGACCGTTTCACTGCTTCCCCTTTGTTTAGTTCTACTTCTTTGAAGGCCTGTGGCATGCATTTTCTATGTGGTAAAACAGTACCAACACAATGTGTATTCCTTTCAATTAGTTTGACGTAAAGAAGTGGAGAAGAATACCAGTTATCCAGGTAGACGATGTATCCGGTGTCAAGAAATGGTTGCATCAAGTCCAACACAACTGCTTCACTTGCCAATAGCTCATCACTCTTGTCATCCCCTACTTAGATTTTGAAAGTAGAGCAATACCCTGAAGAGCTTTCAGACTTTGTAAATTTTTACTCCAAATCTGGCTCGTTTTTTAGGGTTGTATTGAATTATGGGTCTAGCTCTCATTTTTAGGAGGGTCTCATCCAATGCGAGGTCTCTCTCAGGCTCTAACGTATGCAAGAATTTAGTTTCCAGATACTTTAAGATAGGTCTGATTTTTTTCAGTTTGTCATTATTTACTTCAGTTTCTGTGGTACTATCGTAAAAATGCAGAAATCTGGATATGGCAGAAAATCTTTCGTATGACATGGTATTACTAAATATCGGTGTTTCGATTATTTTCCTCCATGACCAATATTGTTTGATATTAGGTTTTTTCATCTGACCCATGTTTACATACAGTGGAAAATAAACTTTTAATTCGTCAACTGTAACGTCAGTCCACCTCTCGTCTGATTTTAGTTTTTTCCTATCAGGATTGTCTAGTTGTTGATGAGCATAATCGTTGGTTTCGACACATATCATGGTCCAGAATTCGTCACCAACAAATTGCATAAAAGTTTGTAATTCTGTCGGGTTTTCACCAAGTGCACGCAAAGTGTGTACATTTACCCCGGGCACACCTCGGAATTCAATAGGTTTAGTTACATTCTTCTCTTCTAACCACGGCCAATCGCTGTCTTAGAATTTTCGGTTCTTCGCTATTTGTTTGTTAGTGGGTTGGGGTTGGCTTGGGTTTTCAATAGGGTTTGATTGATCAGAAGGACCACTAGACACAGTATTATTAGGCTTAGAAGCCTTAGACTTCTTGGTAGGCTTTTGAGGTTTAGTCATTAGGGTAGGCCTATTAGGTTTAGGCATCAGGGTTGGTAGGCCTATTAGGTTTAGGCATCAGGGTAGGCCTAATAGGTTTAGGTATCAGTGTAGCTTTAGGCTTCTTAGTAGGCCTATGAGGCTTAGGAATTAGGGTAGGCAAACAAAGACCTATTTCAGTTGAACGTTTACTTTTTTGACTGGTCTTTTCTAAATTCTGAGTAACTAAAGGCTCATCATTATTTATAGTCATGGTAGAAATATTCTCGTGATCTAAATCATGTTGTACAGTCTCATCACTATTGGGCGCATTTATAACAATTTCATTTTCAATTTCAAGACTCAAATCACATGATTGGTTTGATACAAGTTGAGCATTATTATCAGTATTAGCTAAAACATCTATCTGAGCCTAATTGTTCATTACCTGAAAAAGTAAAAGATTCGTCAAAAATCACAGGGGACATATTTCCATTGCCAGCAGCGTGAAACTCGAGAAATTCAACAGTTGGTTCATACTTGTGGCCGTGAGAAATAATTTTGTCATCAAAACTTCTATCACTTCCATCGGAATCAAATTCAAAGTCACTATCTAATAGTCGGTCTAATTCCGAAGTCCGTAATGATTTATCACCCATAATGAATAACAAATACACACATAAACACTCTGAATCACAAGCGTTGACAGTACCGACGACAACAAACAACAATAAATACCGGCTAACTGACAGACGACAACGCCAGCTGCTTCACAAAAATAATAATAAAGGCAGGTTTACCAACAACAAAGATCAAATATCTATCCTATTGTAGCTAAATAGTGTGTTGATGACATGCCAACACGATCTAGCAGAAAATCAAGGAACTACGTAGTCTACTGCGTATGAGATATAGAGGACGAGCTGTGCTCGTCTGTCGGCATTCAGTCCCGCGCGGACGCGACGAGTAGCGCTCGTCTGTCTACCCCAATGGGTTAAGACAATGGTCATTAAAAGTAATTTTGAACTGCCATTTTGTAATTAATGCTCCGATTTCTATTTTATTTATGTTAATTGTTATGTTTCGTCAAGACCTGTAAAATGATACCAAACTCGACTATACTTGCTGTTTGAAAATTTTGAGCTACCCCCCCCCCTCCTGCTACTCCTAAGGGCAAAATTTTCAAAACTGACCATAATTATTATAGCCCTTCATACCCAAACAAGTTGCAGCAAACCGATTTCAAATATCTCAAATAGTTAAAAAGTTAAAGGGGGTGCAAGTTGATTTTCAGCCACCCTCATGGTTATTTGGATTTGAAACGTTTTAGGATGCCATTTTGTTATTAGTGGGTTGATTTTGGTTTTCTTTATGTCAATTTTTATGTTTCGTCAAGACCTGTAAAATGATATCAAACTTGGCTATACTTGTCATTTGAAAATTTTGAGCTACCCCCACTACTCCAAAGGGCAAAATTTTCAAAATTGACCATAATTATTGTAGCCTCTCATATCTAAGAAGGTTGCCGCAAACAGATTTCAAATATCTTAAATGGTTGAAAAGTTAAGGGGGGGGGGGGGTTGTAAGTTACTTTTCAGTCACCTTGTATAACAAAGAAAACGACAAATACTGTATTACATTTGGTTCAATGTTTAAATTCCCAAAACTCCAACCTTGATGCAGTTTTGACCTAATTCTTTTGAGCTTTTAATGCAGTAATAACTGTGTTGTTATTCATATGTGTTTATTAACATATGGTGTTAGAATATTATTTGTTTAGTTTTTGTTGGTAAACATTCTGGATCTGGATTTTATTGGAAAAACTACCTAATAAAGTATTTGTCTTATTGAACTATATTTTAATTTAACTTGCGATAACACTACATGGTGGCAGCGGGTTTTTTATTGTTTTAGCAATACAGTACATAAAGATGAAAGGTTTTAGTGTTCCTTCCCCAGAACATTTTGATTTTAAAGGAGAAAACTGGTCTAAATGGAAAACCCGTTTCTTGCGCTTTCATGCGGTATCTGGGCTCACCAATGAAGAAGAACCATATCAGGTAAACACCTTACTATATATGATGGGCGAAAAGGCCAAAAGCATATTTGAATCATTTAATTTGACATCTGAGGAAAGTAAAAGTTTCAAGACTGTTTTAACAAAATTTGATACATATTTTGCTCCTTCTAAGAATGTAATCTATGAGAGGTACATGTTTCATACTAGGGTTCAACATGAGGAAGAGCGTGTTGAAAGTTTGATTCATGATCTTCATGAGATGGCTTCTAGATGCGATTTTCCTGCTTCTTATAAAGATGAGGCTATACGAGATCAACTTGTTGTAGCGATTAGAGACAAAAGTTTATCTGAAAAACTACAAATGAATGCAGATCTAACACTTAATTCTGCTGTCTCAAATGTTAAGCAAGCCGAATCGGTTAAAATGCAACAATCATTGATGAGGTCCTTGCTTATATACAAAATATTGACACTACCCTACCATCTGTTTCGGATGAAAAGTTGCGAGAAATAAATCAAGAAACTATGAAAGATGAAACTCCAAAGCATGTGTCACAGTATTGTGTGAAAGGTTGGCCAGAAAAATCTAAGATTCCAGAGGATGTATTGCCCTACTGGTATCATAGAGAAGATATAAGTGAGCAAAATGGTATACTTCTCTTTGGAAGTCGTATTATAATACCAAATTCTCTAAGAGCTAATGTACTAAGAAGTATTCATGAAGGACATCAAGGCATAACAAAGTGTAGATCTTTTGCAAAATTGACTGTGTGGTGGCCTCGTCTTTCTCAACAAATCAAAGAACTAATAGAAAATTGCAAGATATGTGCAGAAAATCGCGCTACGAGAGCAGAGCCGCTGATACCAACCCCTTATCCGGACAGACCTTGGCAAATAGTGGGTGCCGATTTGCTGAAGTGCAAAGGTCACTGGTATCTCTTAATCTCAGACTATTATTCTAGGTTTATGGAAATTGCTAGACTAAATGACTTAAAAATGGGCACTATAGTAACATATACAAAGTCCATCTTCGCACGTCATGGTGTACCTGAGACAGTGAGAGCAGACTGTGGTTCTCAATTTGACTGTTGTCAATTCAAACAACTTGGTCGTGATTATGGATTTAAATTGATTACATCAAGCCCAAAATTTCCACAAAGCAACGGCTTCATCGAAGCGCAAGTAAAAAACTTTAAGTACCACTTAGAAAAAAGTGATGATCCCTACAAAATGCTACTTATGTTAAGAGCAACCCCTCTAGAAAATGGGAAAAGTCCAGCGGAATTACTTTTCGGGAGAAGGATCCGCACTTATGTTCCAATAATGTCTGATCAACTAAGACCCTATCTGGTAGACGCTGAAAAGTTAAGGGAAAAGGAAGAAGCAAGAATTGATCGTCAAAAGATTTATTTTGACAAAAGACATGGAGTCAAAGAATTGCCTACTCTACCTGATGGAGCTCAAGTCCATATAAAGGACAGGAATCAAGAAGGAACTATATTAAACCAACATCCTGCACCTCAATCCTATATAATTCAAACGCAAGATGGTTGTTTGCGGAGGAACAGAAGATCACTGCAAAGATTTAGCTCTACTATGCCTTCAGACCACTCTCAACCAGCACTGCAGACCAGTCCTTCAGAACACCTCAGAAGATCAGAACCTCTCGATCATCCTGCAAGGAAATCGCAGACAAAACCTTTAGCGAATCTAAGAAGATCAACAAGACAATTCAAACCTACCCGGAGGTTCGATCTTTAAAGGGGAGATGTGTTGTTATTCATATGTGTTTATTAACATATGGTGTTAGAATATTATTTGTTTAGTTTTTGTTGGTAAACATTCTGGATCTGGATTTTATTGGAAAAACTACCTAATAAAGTATTTGTCTTATTGAACTATATTTAAATTTAACTTGCGATAACACTACAATAACCTTGTTGGTTACATCAGGGGCGCTGCCCCCCCCCCACCCCCCACCACCACTGAAATGTGTGAAAGGAAAAATTAAACCACAACATTAGCTATCACTTTTTTAAAGTTTTGATTAATAAGCCAATAAAAAACTATTAATTTTGAAAATCTATACAAATGAAATTGAGACAAAAAAATTACAGGTTAGTTTAATTTAATTGATAAAAAGGTTTTTTAATGTATATCTATCTCACTAACATGCATTTTTTCACTATAGTAGAATACCCTATAACCAATTTGATAGCACTGGCCTTATACGATTGATTCTTAAGAATACAACAACATGCAATTAAAGTAGATAACTAAATTTGTTGAAAAGCTTAGATTTATGTGTGAAAGGAAAAATTAAATCACAGTAAAGCTACAGTTGCATAAGTAAATTTTGTAGAAAAAGTTGAAAAACATTAATATCTGTACTTACTAAACATTTCATCTGGACTGATTTCATCATACATATCTCCTTGGTGAAGAGATTTTTCACCTTTGGTAGCCTAAAACACCAGGCACATAATTTAATGTTCCTTTGCTAACTTGAAAACAATGTGTGACTACTAACAGTGCTAATGAATGACAAATGACATTTTTACAATTGTATAAAGCAAAATAAGTCAGTATCTCCTGTTCAGGATTTCAATTTTTGGTGGCGGATTTTAGTGTTGTGAATTCATCCCAACCATTATATTTAGATAACAAATGGTACATAGTCCTAGCTTATCATTATCAATTGATTAGTGTAGTCTTTATAATACTAAATTATCCTACTAATATTATAAATGAGAAAGTTTGGATGTATGGATGTATGTTTGTGACAAGTAAACGCGAAAAATACTGGTCGGATTGGGCTGAAATTTGGCATGATGATAGATCACATTCCCGATTAACATATAGACGCATTCTTATCTTAAAAGTCCTTTTGGGCTCCGCCCCAGTGGCTCTGGAGTTTCCCATGTTAATCTTATGAGTAATCGTATTTCAAAGGAATAATACCCCCGCCGCAGCAAACCTGCCGACTAAGCGAATTTCCATTTGTCTTAATTGATTTTCAATTAAATACTAGACGAGGTGTTAGCCCGTCCTACGTACGGGAATTCAGAGTAGTCAGTTAAAACCATGTACAATTCAGATCAGCTAGTTAACACAAATAAAGGCAAAGTTTCTTGCAGTTTTAATGTGAAAAACCATCTTGTAAACAAATGTTGTGTGACCAAATATGTTTTTATTCAATCATAGGCCTATGCGATATGCATTTTAAATCCGATAATTTTACAATAAAACAGCAATTCTGCAATTTTTACGATGTGAAAAGCGTTTAAGTGAGATTTACAGCCGATTCGTACAGACGCACACTGATTATAAGTAGCCTACGGTAGAGAGAGTAATAGTCAATTGAGAAGTGTATAGACCTAGTCAACGATACCACCTTAATTATGTGTATAGTATAGTATACTAATAGTGTGTAGTATATAGTACTAATAAGTATAGTATACTATGTAGTGTATAGTAATTATGGAAGAGGCAGGTATGCTATGGAGCATACCTGCCTCTTCCGTATAATTACTATCACCAAAATATATCCATAAACAAGCAAACTACAACATTTGACAATATTCTACATAAGAATAACATGGTAATTTTAAACTTAAAATTTTTTTAATTTTCTCCGTTACTATTAACCGAACAAAAATACTTTTATATACTAAATTAATTGTTTTTTTAAGCTCTTTAAAAAAGTCTAAAGAGAAATTAGGAAATTTTGTGTTTTGAGGGTCAAAACAGAGAAAAACCTATTTTTACCCCATAAAAGCCCCCGTAAAGCCCCGTTCCCATGGTCCGATCATGCTGGTTCGCAAACTCATTCAAGTTTATCCTGCTTTACACCTTAAAACCAAATTTCATCAAAATCGGACAAAATTTACTCAAGTTATCGCGTTCACGGACGTGTGTATATATATATATAATATTAATAAATAATACACCATAGTACCCTTTTTAAATTTTTTTTTATAAAAAAAAAATAAATAAAAAAAATAATTAAAAAAAGGGTACTATGGTGTATTATTTATTAATTTTAATTACAGTAGCCCTAAACGTGAACAATATCAAACACAATATATATATATATAAGTCTATATATATATACATATATAAAAATTTGAACTAATGGTGTTTTTGGCCTCTGGGAACATCAAAATGAAAAAGTAAATCGGTCCCGGGTCTAGGTCTTACCGTGCCACCTACGGTAATAGCTACTTCCCTATAGGGAAATTCGCTAAAAGAATTTTGTCAGCTTTTTCAACTACACAAGTTGGTTCTATGATATTGAATAGCATTAAAATTTACAAGGTTTTAGTCCAGGACCTGACTAGGGTTCTGTGTGCATGTCGTGTATAGAGAATTTTGCTTTTGCATTTCAATATAGGTGTCTTAGGAAGTGTTTTCCACTCGGGTGTCAAGTTCGCACCTGGTACGTTTTCGAGCTATGACGTCATCAAAATGGCGGCCATTGATTTTTTTAAATCGTATATTTCGCAAACTATTTGTCGGATCGGAATGAATTTTTTTTTGTTTGAAAGATAATTTTAAATGCTACCTGTTTTACATTTACACATTTGTTGTATGTTTAGTACATTCTTCGTAATTTTGCAAAAACCTGTATTTTTAAATATTTTTGAGTTATTTTTGTTTGTAACGTTTTATTGATACAATTTATCAAAAACCACCAATGAAAAAAGTTGTAGAACGTTTAAAAATCTAACATTAAATTAACAACTCAAACAATATTAATTTAATAGATTAATTGAAAATCAATCCAGGCAAATGGAAATTCGCTTAGTCAAAAGGATTGCTGCACCGGGAGTATTTATATAGTGGAAACATTCCTATGGACTAATTACATTGATTTGTTGTGCTTTTATTTGCATAAAAGAGGGTAATGGTCTTATTTTAAGTAAAATAGCTGGTGAAATCGTAACATGTAGCAATTTTAAAGACATCATAACCGGAAACTGCAGTGGGTCCAGACGTGACACCCGAGTTAAAAACACTTCTTTAGACACATACATCAACATTGAATGGTAAAACTGTCTATATATGACTCGTACACAGCCATCGATGTCGGATTTATATGCGTTTTTGTGCAAAAGGTTGTTTTGTACGATTTTCTAGTTTCTTGACGTGATCTTTTGAGTTAAGCATATCAAATTTGGTATTTTTGTAAAGCTCTTTTAACGTGCTACAACTTTGTCTTTAAGTTATTTCTGATATATTGTATCAATAAAACGTTATCGACAAAAATAACACAAAAATGTTTAAAAATATAAATTTTTGCAAAATTACGAAAAATGTACTAAACATAAAACAAAAGTGCAAATGTAAGAAAGATAGCATGTAAACTTATCTTTTAAACAAAAAAAATTTCATTCCGATCCGATACATGGTATGTAAAATATCGTTATTTTTAATATAGCCCTTTCCGCCATTTTAATGACGTCATAACCGGAAACTGCAGTGGGTGCAGACATGACACCCAAGTTAAAAACACTTCTTTAGACACATACATCAACATTGAATGGTAAAACTGTCTATATATGACTCGTACACAGCCATCGATGTCGGATTTATATGCGTTTTTGCGCAAAATTAGGTTGTTTTGTACGATTTTCTAGTTTCTTGACGTGATCTTTTGAGTAAAGCATATCGAATTTGGTATTTTTGTAAAGCTCTTTTAACGTGCTACAACTTTGTCTTTAAGTTATTTCTGATATATTGTATCAATAAAACGTTATCGACAAAAATGACACAAAAATGTTTAAAAATATAGGTTTTTGCAAAATTACAAAAAATGTACTGAACATAAAACAAAAGTGCAAATGTAAGAAAGATAGCATGTAAACTTATCTTTCAAACAAAAAAAAGTTCATTCCGATCCGATACATGGTATGTAAAATATCGTTATTTTTAATATAGCCCTTTCCGCCATTTTAATGACGTCATAACCGGAAACTGCAGTGGGTGCAGACGTGACACCCGAGTTGAAAACACTTATTTAGACACATACATCAACATTGAATGGCGAAACTGTCTTTATAAGACTTGCGAACTGCCCTAGATGCCGGACCAATAGGCGTTTTTGCGCCAAGATTTTGGTGTTTTTATGAGATTTATCTAGTTTCTTGACGTAATCTTTTGAGTAAAACATATCGAATTTGGTATTTTTGTAAAGATTTTTAAACGTTCTACAACTTTTTTCATGGGTGGTTTTTGATAAATTGTATCAATAAAACGTTACAAACAAAAATAACTCAAAAATATTTAAAAATACGGGTTTTTGCAAAATTACGAAGAATGTACTAAACATACAACAAATGTGTAAATTTAAAACAGGTAGCATTTAAAATTATCTTTCAAACAAAAAAAAATCATTCCGATCCAACAAATAGTTTGCGAAATATACGATTTAAAAAAATCAATGGCCGCCATTTTGATGACGTCATAGCTCAAAAACGTACCAGGTGCGAACTTGACCCCCTTGTGGAAAACACTTCCTAAGACACCTATATTGAAATGCAAAAGCAAAATTCTCTATACACGACATGCACACAGAACCCTAGTCAGGTCCTGGACTATTTACCAACAGGGTGCAGTACTGTTATTTTTTACATTTATGACAACAGCTATCCTATTAAGGCCATAAAGGTAAAATTTTGTTTTTAAAAGGCTTATGTGTAACTATTTTATCAACAGATGTAAAGATCAAAATGTTTCTATTTCGTGTTCTCTTCCTGTTGCAAAGCACGGGTACAACAGCTATTGGATTATAAAATAAGCTATGTTAAAAATTACTTGTTGAAATGTATTAACTTCTTTATTGTGGATTTCTGTGAGGATAGCAGGTTTACCTGAATAGGAAAGAGTTCAATCTGGCACAAAGAAAGACAAAACTTAACACTAATACACGGATCATCTTCAAATGGTCCAAAATCGTTTGGTCCAACGTTTATATTGCCGTTCATTTGGTTCAAAATCGTTTGGTCCAACAGTTAAAAACTCGTCGTTTGGTCCAAAATCGTTTTATCCAATTTCATTTGGTCCAAAATCGTTTGGTCCAACAGTTAAAAACTCGTCCGTTTGGCCCAAAATCGTTTTATCCAACACTTAAATACGAGTTCGTTTGGTCCAACAGTATAAACTATTGCGTCTTTTACATTGAAGGCGTTCATATATCCGCCGTTTTATACAATAATAATATTAATACAATTTTTGCTTAAAAAATGCCGACTGTCTATGTTTTAAACGTTAAAGACACCATGTTTTGTAGTATTCAACCCACTAAAGCGTACATAAGCAGACTTAAAGCTCAATAGTGTATCATACGGTTAGGAATCTTATAAATTAACAGTTTTTATCACATTTGGCAACCTTCTAATATACAGAGTGTATAGAAATTCAGTGGACCAACGTGTTTTAAATGTTTATCATACACCTTAATTTT